TTTTCTGCTTATGTGGTGCTGAGGAATCGAACCCAGGGCCTCATGCATGCAAGGCAAGCACTCTACCACTGAGCCACCTTCCCAGCCCCTTATTTGGTATTTTAAACACCAAATTCTAAGTGTTGTAGTAGTGACAAGATATATCTTGGGTATTTTGTGGCTTCCTGACCGTGACTTTAACATGTTTATAAAATCTTTGGTAATCCAAAGAATGGAGGTTTCATACCAGATAAAGGGGGTGCCTGAGTAAGCCCTCTCTTTGGCCATACAGAAGTATATACCCCACATTCGTTATGATGCTTATTCTCCTCTCCTGGGTTTATGCCTTCCTTAGACACAGTGGTGGACCTATGTAAGCCTCCTCACTATCCTGCTTAGTGTAAGTGCAGTGGCTATTCTGTGGGAAAGGATATGGTGGGTGGTTTACATTTAATCAGCCACTCCTCACAGCAAACTATGAACCAGATATTCTCTTTCCCAATTCACAGGTCAGAAAACAGAGGCTTAAAGATTAAGTAATTTGCTGAGGGTATGATATGATGGACACAGCTGGTTTAGTCATTTCTTCTTTTTGTTGTTGGTTTTTTTCTTTTATGGTGGTCCAGAGTTCAAATTCAGGGCCTGAACACTGTTCCTGAGCTTTTCTGCTCAAGGCACTTGAGCCAAAGTATTTTGTTTCAAAGACTTTTAGTTTTCTGGTGGTTAATTAATGGTAAGAATCTCACTGACCTTTCTGCATGGCCTGGCTTGGAACTAGGATCCTTAGATCTCAGCCTGCTGAATAGATAGGATTACAGGCAAGAGCCACAGACGCACAGCTAACCTCATTTCTAATAAGAGCTTACTTACTTACTCATTTCTAGAGAGCTTACTTGCTCTCTATTATGCATTGCCTACTTCCTAGATACTATCCTTAGTCACTTTGATTCTGAATCATGGGTACATTTAGATTCCAAATTTAAAGATTCCTGGTTAAAACAGTCCTTTTATGAATGGGGCTGGGAGGGAGCCCCCATGGAAAGTATTTGGCTCCTTAGTGAGTGCTGCCACCTTGTGTCTACAGTTTTATAAGGAAAAAAGTTAAAATTGAGAATAATTGTGTTGAAAACTACTTAATTTTTGCTTGGTTTTAGTGGAACTTACTTATTTAAAAATCATTTGACTTAGTGGCTAATGAAGCTTTTTCAGAACAAGATGAACAAAAAAACCCTTTGACGTTTGTGATACTTCTGTTCTTTTATCCTTTAATCAAAAATACAGAAACTAAGATGTGAAAGCGAATGTGAAGTTATATCATACCATATTTCAAAATAGTTTTTGAACAGTCAACATAAAATATGAGTAATTCTATGATGTATGAATAGCTTCTTTAGTATTAAACCCCTTGATGTGTAGACCTCATTATGCTTAATTGTTTAACCTTAAGTGTATTATTCTACTTATTGAAAAGAGAAGTATCAAAGGAAGCCACATGATCTTCTTAGAATTATTTACTTGTTAGGATGCTTTCATTTGTACCAAATAAGTATAAAATGAAGCTGGTTTTTAAAATAAAATATGGAGCCAAGCACCATGGCTTATGCCTATAATTCTAGCTACTCAGGATGCTGAGATGTGAGGATAGTTGTTCAAAGCCAACTCAGGCAGGTAAGTACATGAGACTCTTATCTTCAGTTAACTGGCAGAAAGCCATGGATCAAGTGGTAGTGCACTAGCCTTAAGCGGAGAAAGCTAGTGAATAGCCAGGTTCTGAGGTCAAACTCTAATAATGGCACCAAAAAACAGTGCTTGTGTGTGTGTGTACGTGAGAGAGAGCTTTTTTAAATGTCATTAAAATTTTTCCAACCTTTATAGACAATTTATTATAGCAAGCAGTGTGAGTGTCTTTGAAATTGTTTAATGACTTATTATACAGTCTTTTGTTATTTTCTAACCTTTTTTTTGGGTGTGGGGGGGGGTCGATCGTGGGGCCTGAACTCTGGGCCTGGGCACTGTTCCTCAGCTCTTCAGCTCAAGGCTAGGGTTCTACCACTTGAGCCACAGCACCACTTCCAGTTTTCTGAGTGGTTTATTGGAGATAAGAGTCTCATGGACTTTCTGCCCGGGCTGGCTTTGAACCATGATCCTCAGATCTCAGCCTCCTGAGCAGCTAGGTTACAGGCACCCAGCTATTTTCTACTATTTTTTTTACTAGAGAGTATGATTATTCATGTAATCTTAATTTTTTGTCTTTTAAATTTAATTTTTGTGTAGTGTACAAAAGGGTTTCAGTTCAACTTTTGATCAGTGTCACCTTTTCTGTCATTCTTCCCTCATTGATCTCAATTTCACCCATTTTAGGCTACCTGAGAGACGGACAAAGGATGACCCATTGCAACAATGATACTCACAAGATACTATGTCAGAAATGAACTTTACAGCTTGGGGTGGGGAGATGGTAGAACAACAAAGGGGTAACAGTGTTCGACAAGAAATATACTCATTACCTTACTCATGAAACTGTAACCCCTGTGTACAGCATCTTTACAATAAAATAAAATTTAAAAAAGAAAAAAAAACTATAGAAATCATACTTCTCAGAATTAAAGTTCTCTTGGTTGTGATCTTGGGTAGGCTTTTTTTTTTTCTTTAAAAAGGAGCTGATATCTCCCTTACAACACTGGCCTCCTTGCAGACTTTCATATTAGTTTACTTCCTTTCCTTGGTCTTTTGCCTTTACTGATAACTCTTAAGGCCTTAGTGGCTTATTTAGGTTCGTGTAACTAACGCATGTCAGAATTAAATGCAAGTGTTCTGACTCTTGTTTAGGACAGGAAAATAATAACACTACCAACACTACTGTGAAGTATTCTATTCCCCTTGCCTGTTCTGTGCAAATGTCTTTTGTTTTTATTTTAGGCCACTGGAAGATATGATTTATTTGATCCAAGACAGTCCATTTCAGCCCAGGAATCTACAGTGGTGACAAGGACATGGGACTCCTCCTGCCAGATTTCACATGGTTCAATACAATTGACATCCTGGCTGACAGCTGTGAAAAGGAACCTTGGATTATTTTATTTTACTTTTGTGGAACACCACAATACCAAATCCATAAGACACATCAGGTAATACTCATTGCTATCTTGAAGAACACATTTCTTGTTTTGGAAACTCTACCCTCTTCTTTACAACCTTGTTGATATTAGAATGAACCAATCAACTTTTGGCATAAGATATAGTTGTTTTTTCTTTTTTATTTGTTTAAGACTGGATCCTACTGAGTTCCTCAAGCTGATCCTACCCTCTCATTTTCACAAGTGCTGGAAATATAGCCCAGCATAAGGAAGACTTCATTGTGTTTTTATCTCAAATCGTCTACCTGTGATTTCTAGATTTGTGATTTATATTTGTATGGTACTTGAGTTTGAACTCAGATTCTTGTGCTAACTCTGCTCACTCATTAGATTGTCACTCTACAACTTAAACTACACCTCTAACCTGAAGAATCTATTTGCTTTAACTTTCTTTCTTTCTTGTCAGTCATGGGGCTTGAACTGTGACCCTCAGATCTTAGCCTCCTGAGTAGCTAGGGTTACAAGCGTGAGCCACTAGCACCCAGTTTCTGGGTTTTTCTTTTCTTTTTAATTTTCAGAAATACTTATAAATTCCTACAGTATATTTACTTCATTGTAAAACATACTCCTTTTTTGTGGACCTGAGAGTTTAACTTTAGACTTGTGATTGCTATGTAGACTTTCTACTCCTTGAGCCATACTTCCAGCCATTTTTTCCCCTTGTTTTTCCTTTTTTTTTTTTTTTTTTTATGGGGGTGGGTTGGTCATGGGGCTTGAACTCTGGGCGCTGTCCCTCAACTCTTCAGTTCAAGGCTAACACTCTACTACTTGAGCCACAGTGCCACTTCTGGTTTTCTGAGTGGTTTATTAGACATAAGAGTCTCATGGACTTTTCCTGCCCAGGCTGGATTTGAACTATGATCCTCAGATCTCAGCCTCCTGAGTAGCTAGGATTACAGGCATGAGCCACTGGCACCCAGCTTTCCTTGGTTTTTCAAATAGAGTCTTAGATGTATGCCCAGACAAACCTGGACTGTTACCTACTTACCTCTGCTTCCCACTTAGCAAGGCTGACAGTTTTGTACCACCTTGTCCAGCTATTGATTGAAATGGAATCTTATGTATAAGTTGGCCTCAAACCTTGTTTTTCCCATCTCTACTTTTTTGTAAAAAAAGAAAAAGTTACTATAAAGGTGACAGAGGGATTATAGTTATATAAGTCAGGTAAAAAATACATTTGGGGGGCTGGGAAGGTGGCTCAGTGGTAGAGCACTTGCCTTGCATGCCTGAGGCCCTGGGTTCCATTCCTCAGCACCACATAAGCAAAAAGAAAAAAAAAAAGCTGGAAGTGGCTCTGTGGCTCGAGTGGTAGAGTGCTTGCCTTGAGCTGAAGAGCTGAGGGACAGCGCCCAGGCCCAGAGTTCAGGCCCTACGACCAGACCAAAAAAATACATTTTGGGGGGCGGGGGGGTCGTCATCTAGAATACAAATAACAAACACTAGTTAGGATGCCAAGAAAATGCAACTCTTAACACACTGTTATTGGCAAATGATGGGTACAAACACTATGGAAGTCAGTGTAGAGAGTCCTCAAAAAATTTGAAAATAGAACTAACCTAAGTATCTGTCATACCACTCCTGGGTATTTATCCAGAAGACAGCAAGTCAAGATACAATAAGGGCACCTAAACATTCTCATTGCAAAGTTATGGAAATAACCTAGATGTCCTACAACCAATAGATAATTAAAGAAATACACATACACACACACAAACACACACACACAAACATACACACACACACACACACACGGAGGAATTCATTTATTTGGAAGAATAATGTGTCATTTGTAAACAAATGGATGGGCCTGGAAAAAATTAGGTGAAGTAAGTCAGGCTCAGAGAGATTAAGGGCACATATGTTCTCATATGTGGAAGTTGCACCTAAAATACAGTCATATATGAAAACATACATAAGGGGGCTGGGAAGGTGGCTCAGTGGTAGAGCACTTGCCTTGTATGCCTGAGGCCCTGGGTTCGATTCCTTAGCACCAATAAGAAAAAAGAAAAAAGCCAGAAGTGGCGCTGTGGCTCAAGTGGTAGAGTGCTAGCCTTGAGCTGAAGAGCTGAGGGACAGCACCCAGGCCCAGAGTTCAGGCCCCACGACCAGACCCTCCCAAAAAAAAAGAAAAGAAAAAGAAAGCATAAATAGGGCCATGTGCATGTATATATACATGATCACCTTGACTGAAGTATGGTATACACAATAGTGGGTTTCTGTGGTATAACTTCTTCAAACAGTTAACAGTTTAAGAAAATTAATACCAGGAAACTGAAATATGTCTTATCTAAGGACCATCAGGGATTGAGAGGAAGGGAGAAGATGAACAGAAAGAAGAATGGCAGCAGGGGAAGAGGGTGTGAATACAGTCAGAATACTCAATGTACATGTGTGAAAATAAAGCCAAAAAACTTGAGGGTTTGGGTTATGTTGATAGAGAAGATGAGCAAATGGTGGAAGGGGTGACAATGATAATGATACATTGGACACATAAACTCACAAGTTGAATTGAAACCACCCTTTGTACAACTATTTAATGATTTGTTTTTTTAAGACAGGTAGTATTGCTGTGTGCTGTAGCTCTGTCATCTAGCTACACAGAAAGCATAAATGGGAGGATTGTGATCTATATAAGACTAGGAATAAATATTACACCCTACCTCAAACGTAACCAAGAAGTCTGGGATCCAAGTGGTATAGTTCCTGAGTTCAAATCCAGTACCACCAACAAAAAAATTATATTATGAAAAAATATTTTTTAAAGTAGGCATTGGTGATTAGTCCTATAATCCTAACTGCTCAGAAGGCTGATCTCTGAATATCAAGGTTATAAGCCAGTCTGGGAAGAAAAGTCCATAAGTTTCTTTACATCCAGCAAAAAACAAAAGTGGTGGTGTAACTCAAATGGCAGAGTACTAGACTTAAGCAAAATATCCAAGTGATAGTGTGAGACCCTTAGTTAAGCCCCAGTACTGGCATTTAGAAAAAGAAAAATTACAGAGGAGTTGAAAAAATTTTACTATGAACATTAACATAATCACCCTGAGATTCTTTTGTTACTTACCTACTTTTACCTATTTACATCTGTTTTTCTATGTGCCCACTGATTTTTTTATTTTATTTTAGAATTGTTTGCATCCAATTCTTCTAGTTTTTGGAACATTTTTCACATGCCCTAAAATGACAGCTGTCTTCAGGATTAATTTCTATACATTTCAATTTGATAACTAGTTTGAAGTTACTTGTGTTTTTCTTAAATTTATTAATGACATTAAATATATTGGCATTCTGTGTCTGATCACCTGTGGGTTTCATTTTCAGAATTCAGGGATTTTAAGATCTGTGGAATTACAGGAATACATATGAAAGTTGTGATAAATTTTGATTTAACAGAATAATATGGTAATTCTTTTAGAGGAAACTTGTACAGTCATTTAAAAATGCATATATTATCATCTAATCACTACCTTCTATCTTAATTTAGCTCTTTCTTACTAATTTGTTTTTTTTTTTGCCAGTTCTGGGCTTGAACTCAGGGCCTGAGCACTATCTCTGAGCTTCTTTTTGCTCAAGGCTACCACTTGAGCCACAGCACCACTTCTGGCTTTTTCTTTTTATGTGGTACTGAGGAATGGAACTCAGGGCTTTATGCATGCTAGGCAAGCACTCTGCCAACTAAGCCACATTCCCAGCCCTAGTTTAGTTCTTGAAAGCAGGAATCTTGCTTTTGTATATGTATATTCATCATTAATTCCTGGAATATAGAAGTCAGTATTGTATACTAATTAAGTGTAAAAGAATTTAAAACCTAATTAAGATATTTTTTCTCACCAAGGCTTCAAGTTCCCTGTAGAATTCTAAAATAACCTTTGCTAATGAGGATGTCTGATACTGTTACTATAAAAGATGAAACTGAAACAATGAAGGATTTGGAGGCAGAAGTGAAAGATACCACCAGAGTTGAAAATCTTATCAAATCAGAAAACTATGGGAAGATTTTGGCAGAGAAGAATGACCGTTGTATTGACAACAATATTGATTTGCAGGTAAATAGGATTTTCTTCATGTCTACAAAATAACTAATACTACTTGATTATGCTTCTTTTCATATAAAATTCACTATAGAACTCTAAAAGGGTTAAATTGATCCTTCTGGACTCTTACATTTGAGTCATCTGATTAAGTTTCTGTGTCTTTGCTATTTGATTTGGTATATTATCATTACAACATAATATGTTTTATTTATGTGTAGCCCGTGTATTTTATTTTTATTTACCTTGTGATTCTATCTTTCCCCTAATTACCAGTCCTGTGAAAGTTATGAATTTAAGTGCTCTTAGAAAAGAAAAAACTAAAGTAGTTGAATATGCAAAAACTCTATTGACAGAAACAATCCTTTGGGAATTTCTCAGTCAACCATCACTGAATAAAGCAATTAAGGGTCTTAGGAGGAAAGGATGATGCTTCTGATACTGGTCTCATATAAAGACTGAGAACTTTATGCATATATGAAGACTAAAAACTTAGCATGAAAAGGGCTTTTACTTCCAAGCATAGATGGAAAATAAGTTGAATAATAGATTCGCTTTTATAAGGTATTTCAGTTACTTGTTGTGTAAAAATAAAATGCTAATAATTTTACAATCATTTTCTTGTTAAATATGATTTGTGAACTAGGAAACTGAGCAATGTGTGACTGAGTGCATTCTCTATTCTACAAGGCATCCAAAGTAGTCTCTTAGTGATAGTTAATTGGCTATTTAACCCACCTAGACAGCCCAGTGCTGTGTCCCTCATGTCTGGCACATTGGTAGAACTAACTAGAATGCTGGGTTCATTCATCCTATACCTACTACTACCTGAGCCATGGTCTTTCTATGATGGAAGGCCTGCTGAGCCAGACTTCTTATATAGCAGCTCAAAAATCAGAGAAAGAATGTTCCAAGAGATAAGAGAGCAGAACAAAGCTTTGAACCAAGCTTGGACATCCTACAACATCTTCACTATATTTTGGTGACACATATCATCAATAAAACAGCTCAGATGAAGAATTAGATCTGTCTCTCAGTAGGAAAGCATTTATAACTACTTTATACCACATTTTTTGTTGTTGATGGTAGTGGTGATGGTCATAGAGTTTGAACTCAGGGTCTTGGGCTCTGTCCCTGAGCTCTTCAGCTCAAGGCTAGTGCTCTACCACTTGAGCCACAGTGCTACTTCTGGTTTTCTGGTGGTTTATTGGAGATAAGAGGCTGATTAAGTACAATCGGGTGTATTTATTTAAGAAAGTAGACATAAACCATTTTCCAGTCATTTTTAATAATAGTATTTTTAAAACATCAAAACTTTTGCCATTGAGTAATTGCTATATGCCGGTATCATGATTTCATTAGAGAAAATTAGCTAAAATTATATTGCATATGTGATTGGAATGATAGTAAGGTGGCTCAGTAATAGAGTGCTTGCCTAGCATGCATGAGGCCCTAGGTTCCATTCCTCAGCACCACATACACAGAAAAAGCTGGTAGTGGGCACTGTGGCTCACGTGGGAGAGCGCTAGTCTTGAGCTGAAGAGCTGAAGGACAGTGCCCAGGCCAAGTTCAGGCCCTATGACCGACCAAAAAAAAAAAAAAAGATTTCCTTTTTAACCTCCTTCTACATTCTTGGAGGCCATGCTTATGAACAAATAATTAATTGCATTATTTCATTTTTAGTATGTCTGTTATGTTGCCCATTGATACTTAGCATAAGAACATTCTGATGACTACAATCACATGATGGTTAGTTGTTTACACTAAAGAAATTTATTTTAACACCTATTCGGTACCAAGGAAATAGCATTGTATACAATGTTTATTTTTAACCTTATGTTCCATGTATCATTTTTTTTTAGAATTTATGGTAGAATATTTCCTCCACTATGAGCTTTAAAGAAATAGAGGCCCCCATCCGAGGCACATGGTAAAGAGTTTACTGCAATGGTATAACTTAGACAGGACAGGTTCAAGTAAAAAAAGTAATTTTTCCTTTTTCTTTTTCTTTTTTTCATTTAGAATAATGTAAAAGCTAACTGTTTTACAACAAGTAATAGGACATTTTGTTTAGAAAATAATAATTCTAGTTAGCCCAGTATGGTAAGCTAGCAGCAGCCTTAGAGGCTAAGGGGATCACAAGTTTTAACCCAGCCTAGACTACATAGTGAGACACTAAAAACTAAAAGCAGTAATAGGCTAAATCATATGGAATTGCCTACTCTAATAGATTGCATGACATTTGTCTTTCTTTGGTAACTTCAAGGTATTTCTCAAAGCTTATATATACACATTGGAACAGTGCCCCTCCCACCACACACATTATTAACAACAGAATAACTAATCAAACTTGTGTTAAGTTGTGTTTGTAAATTGTGTTCTGGAGGAAATGAGGGAACTGTGGGTTTTTTGTTTAACAGATAGACCTTACTTGCTAGAGTTGTACAAATAATTGATGGTGTATAAGTGAATGTTTTACACACGGAATCAGTTCAAGAAAGAGTTTTGAATCTTCTTGTTTATATAATAAAACCTTTGATAATTAAGATGAAAATCTTACATCTGACTTCTCTGAAGTTAATTTTCATGAACTATAAAGCACCGATAACCTAATAAGGCTGTCCCTCCCCCTCACCAAAAAAAAAAAAAAAGCCAGCACCTGTAAGCTCACATCTGTAATCCTAGTTACTCAGGAGGCTGAGATCTGAGAATCATGGTTCAAAGCCAATCCAATCAGGAAAGTCTGTGAGACTCTTATCTCCAATAAACCAGCAGAAAACTGAAAGTGGCACAAGTGGTAGAGTGCTAGCCTTGAGCAAAAGAAACTCAGGGACAGTATCCAGGCCCTGAATTCAAGCCCCAGGACTAGGGAAAAAAAAAAAGTAACATACCTAGCACATAGAGCCTAATATGGAACATGTTATCAAGAATATTATCATTACACTTATTGGTAACTATTGTCAATTATATATAAGCCATAGTGCAACTATGAAATCTGTCAAAGAAGAACATAAAGACAAGAAAATAAAAAGCAAAGCTTATTTCTTGACATATACTCTGCCAGATTTCAATTCAATAATTCCTTCAGTTCACTTACCATAATGCATTTTTTTAAAATTACTTCTAGATTTTAAGCCAGCTCTCTTGACTTAGAAAACTTTGTTGTTGATTGTGGTAGTTGTTTTCCAATAGAAATTGACAATCTGACTTCAGTTATTTAGACCACCTTCTGACCTTGAGGTAGACATTGAATTCATTATAATTTTCCGTAACTTCACCATTAATCTTTACTCTTGCATAGAAAATCAGTATTCCAGTCTTCATTGTGTTTGAACCATTACAGTGTATTTGTTCATAAAAGTTACTAATTATAAATGAAAAGCAATTTCATATCTTGAGTGATATTTTACAGTTATTTTTGTGATAAATCCTAGTATAACTCATGAAGATTACTCTGATCTTTTTTCAGATTTCCTGAAATTCCACTAAGAATATTTTATGTAACTATTTGTTTACATAGTTCCTAGGTACTTCAGTATAAATTGTATGAACTATAAATTGGGAACTTAGTAGCTAAGCCTTCTAAATTCCAATTTAATTAGTATTTCTCTGGACTAGTAGAAGCTGTTAAATAAGCTGTCAAATTTTTCTGTGACAATGAAGACCTATCACGTGAAAAGTAGGTTGTACATATGTAAAGTCCATTTTAAAAATAATTGTAGATTAAGCCAAGTACCAATAGCTCACACTTGTAATCCTAGCTACTCAGGAGGCTGAGATCTGAGGATCCTGATCAAACCCAGCTGGAGCAAGATAGTCCATGAGTCTCATGTCCAATTAACCAACAAAAAAATAGAAGTGGAGCTATAGCTTAAGTGTTGGAGCACCAGCCTCAAACAAAAAAGGTCATAGACAGTACCCCTGAGTTCAACCCTAGGACTGGTACCAAAAAAAAAAAAAAAATACACACACACGTTCATATGAGAGAATTTCTTTTTAAAGCCAAATCTGGCTGCAAAACTGATCATGAAAAAAGGAAATAAAGGGTATTTAGTAAATAGAACTAGTTTTTCCTGCTTTTTGTGGGTACGTATGTATGTATGTATGTGCCAAATTTTCTGGTATGTTATGTAATTTCTGTTCTTTGCTATTAAAGTGAAATGATAAATTTTCTTATTGGCTTACTTCTATAGTAATATATTTACTGTATAACAAATTATCACAAATTAAAAGGCATAGAGCAATATTTGTTTATGAATTCATAGTAGACTCAGCTGGGTTCTCTACTTAGGGTTTAGGTTAACAAGACCAAAATCAAAGCTGTCAGCCAAGCTGAGCCCTTCTCTTAAAAATGCTGATAAAGGGGCTGGGAAGGTGGCTCAGTGGTAGAGCCTTGCATGCCTCAGGCCCTGGGTTCGATTCCCCAGCACCACATAAGCAAAAAGAAAAAAAAGGTGGAAGTGGCGCTGTGGCTCAAGTGGTAGAGTGCTAGCCTTGAGCTGAAGAACTGAGGGACAGCACCCAGGCCCAGAGTTCAGGCCCCGCGACCGGACTCAAAAAAAAAAAAAAAATGCTGATAAAGAGTATTTTCTTTTAAGGCTCATTCCAACTGTTCCCAAATGATTTGCATATGTGTTTCTGGGATGTCTTTCAGGTTCTTTGCCCAAAAAAAAAACTACCCGAAGTCCAAAGATGGCCTCTCTTACCTGCAAAGCTAATAGCATTATATTGAGACTTTTGAGTCTCTATTGACTTGTCCTATTTCCAAGCAAAAAATACTCATAGTCTTAAAAGGCTTCACTTCATTTTAAATCTGTGTGTTAAGGTCAGCAGACTTGAGGCTTAGTTAATTCTGTAAAATTTCATCATACACAGCTGTACCTAAATTTGTGTTGTCTTGTGGACCATCTTTGAACTGCTGTCTACCACAAGAATATGTAATCCACAACAAGCGTTTTTTGTTGTTGTATCTTTGGTTTTATGCTTGTCCTGGGGCTTTGTGCTCAAAGCTAGTGCTATAGCACTTGAGCCATAGCTTAACTTCTGGCATTTTAGTAGTTAATTGGATGTAATAGTCTCACAAACTTGCCTGCCTGAGTTGACTTGGAATTGGAATTTCAGATTTCAGCTTGAGTAGTTAGGATTACAGACAATGTACCACCAATGCCTAGTTAAGAAAATTTTGTTTTTTGTGGTGTTTTTGTTGTTGTTGTTGTTGTTTGGGGGGGGTTGTCTTTTTTGTCGGTCATAAGGCTTGAACTCTGGGCCTGGGCGCTGTCCCTCAGCTTTTCAGCTCAAGGCTAGCACTCTACCACTTGAGCCACAGCTCCATTTCTGGCTTTCTAGTGGTTTATTGGATTTAAGAGTCTCACGATCTTTCCTGGCTAGGCTGGCTTTGAACGGTGACCCTCAGATCTCAGCCTCCTGAGTAGCTAGGATTACAGGCATGAGCCATTCGCGCTGGCTTTTGTGGGTTTTTTTTTTTTTTAATAAGGGTAAAGTGCATTGAACCAAGATTCTAAGGTTCTTAGGTTGTTTGCTAGTTGTGTGTACATGCATGCACTGGTCATGAGGCTTCAACTCAGGGCCTGGGCACTGCCCCTGAGCTTTTATCCTTAAGACTAGCACTATCATTTGAGCCCCAACTGTACTTCCAGCTGTTTAGTCATTAGAGATAAGGAGTCTCATAGACATTCCTGCCCAAGCTGGCTTTGAAGCTGGGTCCTCAGATCTCATCCTCTTGAGTAGAGGTAGCCAGCTGGTTGTTTGCTATTTAATAGCTCATTCTGTCATATTCATGAGAGTGGAAATTGTAACAGGCAGAATATGTGATGTACAGTAAAAACTTGATATCTTTTCTCATTTTTCTTCTTCATCAGAAGTTTTTATGAATTAAAACTGAGTTTATACATGTGTAAGTCTATGAATATTGCAGTATGAAGAACATGCAATATGACCTTCATTTTATAGATTTTTTAAAACAATATCTGATTCTTAAACAACTTGTCTGAAATCTCTTGCTTTTTAAAGAGGCAGAAGATTGGTTTTCTATTATTTAGTGATTTAGAGTTTATAAACTCACATTTAAGGGCTAGGAAGGTGGCTCAGTGGTAGTGCTTCTACCATGCATGAGGCCCTGGGTTTGATTTCTCAGCACCACATAAGCGGAGAAAACTGTAAGTGGTGCTGTGGCTCAAGTGGTAGAGCGCTAGCCTTGAGCTAAAGAGCTGAGGGACAGTGCCCAGGCCCAGAGTTCAGACCTCATGACCAACAATAAGTAAATATATAAATAAATACTCACCTTAAAAAAATCCTACCCTTCCAGTAAATCATTTAAGAATCCTGTTCTTGAAATACAATTATTATGAATTTTTTGTACAGTTAAGGGTAAACTGAATAATAAATTGCCTACTAGTCAGAAACAAAGTTAGAACTTTAAATCTAGTCCTGCTGCAAATGGATATAGCTTTGACTTTACCAGCTAATCAACTCTTAGGCATTTTTAGTATATGGATTTATATCATTGATATTTAGAAATGCAAGAGAATTAAAGGGTAATTCACTAATATTTTTCTTTTATGCTCCTTTAGTCATGTACATTTTCCTAGTTTTCACTAGTTACTCTTCTCCCACTTTTTTCCTTGTAAGTGTTCACCCTGACTGTGCAACTTCTTTTTTTTGGCCAGTCATAGGACTTGAACTCAGGGCCTGGGTGCTGTCCTCCAGCCCAGTTCCTTCTACTTTTAGTTTTCTGGTAGTTAATTGGAGATAAGAGCCTCATAGATTTTCCTGCCTGGGCTGGCTTTGAGCTGCAACCATCAGATCTCAGCCTCCTGAGTAGCTAGGATTATAGGCAAGATCCACCAGTGCCCAGCTACAACTTCTGTTTATTGATGTAATTTACAATAGGTGAAAAGTTTTCATCTAACTAAAGAAAGCAGGTGAAACAAAACAGTACCAACTTGCAGGAGCCCTCTTTTGTATCACAACAAAGCACATGTGTGTGTATGTATACACATATACATACATAACATTTTCTTCTTTCTTAGAAGCAGGAAGTTTTGTTGTTGGGTTTTTTGTTGTTGTTTTTGTTATTGTTATTTTGCTTATCCTGGGACTTAAACTCAGAGCCTGGGTGCTGTCCCTGAGCCTCTTTGTGCTCAGGGCTAACACTCTTCTACTTGAGGCAGACAGCACCACTACTGGCATTTTCTGAATACTTTATTGGAAATAAGAGTCTCATAGTCTTTCCTACCCCAGCCTCCGGAGTAGCTAGGATTATAGGTGTGAGCCACAAGTGCCTGGCTCCATTTTTTTTCCATTGCTTTTATTGTCAATTTGGTGATACAAAATCAAACTCTTCAGAATACTGTCCTTCTTATCTTTGTACTCAAAATAGGAGTCATGATATATATTGTTACTATGGGCTTTTATTTCTATTGGCTTCCAAAGAAGTGGTTTTAAGGTACATTTAGAATAGCGGCATTTTTTAAATCTTTTTTATGTTAACTATTCTAGTCTAAGGATGAGGGACTTAGAGTATATTTTGTATTTGTTACCAAACTGGCTCCCTCATATTACTGACTATAAGTGATACACCCTACACTATTTGGGACTGGATTTAGAAAAGTAGATGAGATAGAAATAGGAAGGAAGAGTATTTTGTGTCACAGACACTTGATTTCACAAACTAGAGCCAATCTTACTAGGTTCCCTGGTTATGGGACTCATTATCTTTCAGTCATGCTTAAACATTTCTATCGTAAGTCTGTCCCCTTTGTTTCCATTTCATTGATCTACCCCAGAACTAGCAAATGGGATTTTATTACTAAAACTGGTAGAATACTTCCTACTGTGACAAAAAGGCTTAGTTGGTAGATATTTGCTAGTATTCTGACCCTGTGCATTTGAAGCATTCTTTTAGTAAGATTGGAATATTTCTCAGCTCAGATATTTTAAATTGTTGAGTGGTTTAGTGTGGTTCCTCCATACACTGAACACAGGCTAAAATATGATGTTAAAGAGTTAATAAATGTGTTCTATTTTGCTATTACTAGTCACTTTATAAGTTCCTTAGAGTTCAGTTAACAGAAACTGTGGCCATTTGCTGACATAAAGAAAAAATGTTAACCCACAGAAGATTTTAAAGAATCTTCTACAAGTGTCCTTTTGGGAGGAATCAATACTTACTCGAGAACCATCTCTGATTTCCTCATTTTGCATACATTGTGCAAAGCTAGTTTTTCTGTGAACAAATTTTCTGTCTCAGTATGGAATTTAATAAAAATCTTTCTTATTGTATATTCAGCGGCCACTGCAGTCATTTGGACAGACAGGAAAAAGGTCTAAGGTATAGTAAATATTTGGTGTGCTGGCATGCCAAGGGCCTTCCTTCATGCTTGATGAATCCTTGTTTTCATATGGCACTACATTCAGTTTAGTTTGTTTTTTTTTCATATTTTTGGGGGAGCAAAAAGCTTGTTTTGTTTTATTTGGGGTTTTTGTCTTGCCAAGTCGCTTTTATGCATTGCTTTTTTATCTTTGGTATTTCTGTAGAGTAAATCGCTTTCTTACCATTCTTTAGTTTTGAAGTTGGAATTATTCTCATTCTTAGTATTGCTATAATTTTCAAGACACCAACTGTTGTTTTTCCTCTTAACAAAGGACTTTAGTAGTGTTTAATGATATATTTAACTTGCACATTTCATCCAATTTTTATATATGGCAAAGCTATAAGGAAATTTGCAAACACTCTTCATGGGTCTTTTGGATAGATATGCCCTAGATGTATGAAATGTAGTGTTAATTTTAAATACTTCTCTCTAGTCAAGCTCAAAATTAAAGCTAGTTCGGAGCCTTGCAGTGTGTGAAGAATCTCCACCACCTCCTGCAGCAGAGATATCACAGGAGAACCAGGTAAAAAAAAAAATCTCCCCCCCAAAAAATGTTGTTTGGAGATACGGTGGAACTGGAGATGTTCTTTCATATGGTTAAGTAAAAGTTGAGTGTGTTTCATTTTTATGAAGTGAAACTGGTTTGATAATACTTGGAAACAAAGATACAGATGCAAAGTTGAAAATGCTTATGGAGAAACTTTGAGATCATACCATTAACTGAAAATGTGGCCTTAAGAGAGTAATGAATTAGTATTGAAAAGTTACAAAATGTTAAAGTAATATTTCTAGATAAAATTACAATAAAATCTGCCCTTTTATTTTTTTAATTATAGAAATTTGGCAGTACTTACTTTGACTCACTGTAATACTTCTGCTTGTGTATTATTTTACTTAATCTGAATGCATATATAGCCAGTTTTTATTTAATATGACTTTAATAGCTATCTAATACTTCTAATTCTTATCTCCTTTTATAAAATTATTGCTTGAAAGTTAAGCAGACAATCCATTTTGCTTTTTATACTCTAATGTTATGACAGATAATTTCCTATTGATTTTGTTTTATGTTAAATTTGGACATGAACATAAATGATTTTTATCCCATGTAATAACTTGAGCTCTAGTGGCTTGTTCTATTTCATAAGAATGTAAGCAGTCTAAAATGCCTTTGTACAGCAACATTAAGTTCCTAAAGGATCAAAGCAATGCATGTTTATTTAAGAAACTATGACTTAACTTTTTTTTTTAATAATGGGGCTTGAACTTAGGGCCTGGGTGCTGTTGCGAAGGTCTTTTGCTCAAGGCTAGTGTTCTACCACTTTGAGCCACAGCTCCACTTCCATGACTAATTTTTTTTTTTTTTTGAGGGTCCGGTCATGGGGGCCTGAACTCTGGGCCTGGGCCCTCAGCTCTTCAGCTCAAGGCTAGCGCTCTAAAACTTGAGCCACAGCGCCACTTCTGGCTTTTTTCTTTTTGCTTATGTGGTGCTGAGGAATTGAACCCAGGGCCTCAGGCCTGCAAAGCAAGCACTCTACCACTGATCCACCTTCCCAGCCCCCCATGACTAATTTTTTAAGAAGACAAAGCCATTGTACATTATACATCTTTTTTTTTAAATACCAGTTATGAATTTGACAATTCAAGGAAAAAAATTATGCTTTCTAATGACTTAGATGATTCCTTTCAAAGCTTACTATAGATAAAATAATTCTTACATATTTAGAGTATATCATACTTTTTAAAATAATAGGATGCAAGAAAATCAAAGTTTTCCTTGAACTTTTTTTTCAAATGTCAAGAGTACAGAATTCAAAGTTCTTTATTTTTTCTTTTGTTTTGTTTTGTTTTTTTTTTTTTTGCCTGTCATGGGGCTTGAACTCAGGGCCTAGGCACTGTCTCTCAGCCTTTTTGGCTCAAGGCTTGTGCTCTACCACTTGCCACAGCGCCACTTCATGCTTTTTTCTGTTTATGTGGTACTGAGGAATCAAACCTGGGGCTTCATGCATGCTAGGCAAGCACTGTACCACTGAGCCACATTCCCAGCCCCGAATTCAAAATTCTTTAGTAATTTAAAAATTACAATAGAAGATAGCTATATGTGTTTAATTGGTAAGATATATTTTAGCAATAAAATAGGCTTTTAAAAGCTAGAGGCAGAATTGCAGTTAAAGTATTTCTACTAAGTATTGTGATCTAGAGAATACGTTCAAATATAAACTACAAGCTAAAATGTTATGACATACTCTGAAAAAAATGAAAATTTGTCTGTTTTTTTTATTTTGGGTTTGGGTTTTTTTTTGTGGCAATCCTGGGTCTTGAATTCAGTGCCTGGGTACTGTCCCTGAGCTTTTTTTACTCAAGTCTTTGTATCACTTGACCCACAGTTCTTCTGACTTTTTAGAAATTCATTGGAGCTAAGAGTCTTAAGGACTTTTCTGCTTGGACTGGCTTCAAACTGCGATCCTCAGATCTCAGCTCCTGAGTAGTCACCAGCATCTGGCAAATTGTTGGGGGTCAGGGAGAGGGGCAGTTAAGAGCAGTTCTTAAAAGTTCTTTTGAACAAGTTAGAGATAGGAATGTATGTATGGTAGTACATAATCTATAATCCCAGGTCTGTAGAAAGTGGAGATGAAATGTGAGATGATCATGGTTAAAAGCATCCTGAATAAAAATATTAGCAAAGCTTTTTTTAAAATTTAAAAAAAAGGTGGCTCAGTGGTAGAGCGCTTGCCTTGCATGCATAAGGCCCTGGGTTCGATTCCTCAGCACCACATAAGCAAAAAGAAAAAAGCCGGAAGTGGCGCTGTGGCTCAAGTGGTAGAGCGCTAGCCTTGAGCTGAAGAGCTGAGGGACAGCGCCCAGGCCCAGAGTTCAGGCCCCACAACTGGACCCTAATAAATAAATTAATAAATTAATTAATTAATTAAAACACACACACACTGTAATACTTGCTAAACAGGAAGCAAAGATCAGAATTGTGCTTCAAGATTAGCCTCACAAAAAGTTCACAGTATTCCATCTCAGCCAATGACTGGGTATAGTGGCATGCCTCTTTCATTCCCAGTAACATACTGAAGAGTAGTTAGGAGGATCTTTGTACTGGCTAGCCCAAACACAAAACCCTATGGAAAATAAGGAAAGACAAAAAGATAGAGGATGAAGATGTGGCTTAAAACATTACTGCTTAGCAACAAAATTCTGAATTCAGTCCCTAGTACCACAAGAAAAACCTGGTGGTGTCCATCTATAATCCTAGCTACTAGAGAGGTGAGAGAATTGTAACATAAAAGGGGACCATGCAAAAACATAAGATAAAACTTTTTAAAAAAATCACTGAAACATGAAGGGGTTAGGGGTGGGGTTCAGTGTGGTAGATGGGTTTTTTGGTTTTATTTGAAAAAATCATTTCTTCATTCTTTGATCAGATAGTTATACCATCTTAGCCTTGTGACATAATCAAGAGAGATGAGGAAATAAGCATTGGTTAATACAGAAAATGTGTGTGCCTTTTTAGAAAAACTGTATCGTGATCTTTTTCTTTTCAGTATATTTTACCTTAAGTGGAACTGTTGGAGAAGAAATCAACATAAATCAAGCTAGTGAAAACTCATCCGAGGAAAAATGTAGTATAAGGGATATATGCTGTATGTTAATATATACATGATCACAGATAATTTGTGTTTGCACTTCAAAAATAGTTTCATTATTCTTAATGAATGATTATGTCAGAATTTAATTATTCCACTTAATACATTGGTTTCTCAGATGCAGTTTTATGTGTTTTTTTTTCCTTTTAGTGATACCTGTCTAGAAAAAAGGTACTTCTATTAACATATTTTTTTTTCATGCCGTGAATTAACTAAGTTATACAGGAATCGAAATTGAATATAAATGACATATACTATCATGTAATCCTTGATTATAGAGGTACTTTTCAACTAAGTTGCTTAATTCTGAGTGTGTTTTGGGGGAATTAATATGGAAGAAAACTCAGTATTAAAAAAGATTTACATACAAATAGTTTAGCATTTAGAAAGTCTTGTTTATTTACTACTGAAAATAGCCCGATTGTAGAAAAGGCCCAAGATTTTCCTATAGTTCATCTTAATAAAGTAATTTAGTGTCTATAATTAAATGGATTTGAGGTGAGTACTTGGAAATGAGAGATTCTATTCATTGGCGATTCCTTTAAATGAGGGTATTAAGGGGAAGTAATACGGGATATTTTTCTCCCAAACTGCTATTAGGTATCTTTCTGAGTAACAAAAAAGAAAGCTTCAAGTCAGAGCAAGATGAAATATTCTACTTCTAAAAAGTGTTTCTAGCATTTATTTTCCAAGCATCTTTTAAAATTATGGAAACAAGGAAGAAAAATCCTTAAAAAATGAATGAGTAAGAAATAAGAAGCACTGGTAATTGATAAAGCAGAGAAAGCATAAAACAAATGTCCATCCTCTAGGTAAAAAAATTGTCAGAACCTAGCATTTGCTGTGTATAATTTAAGTATAATTTAGAACTGAGATAAATTGAGAAGAAAAACTTTAGGAGAGATGAAATAACAGAAATTCTACTGGATTAAAAGTTTATTTAAAATTCTGCTAAAGATTGCTTTGAAAAGAAATTATGTAGGGGTCAAGAGAAAGTAGTATAACAGAAAATTTGCTAGCTACAAGTTTGAGAGTCCTGGAATATATATCCCTTATGATACTTACTGCCTGTATCACTACCATACAGAATTGCTACATTTTTCATCACTAAGTTTTATATATTTTATATATATATACACAAGTACGTGTGTGTATATATATATATATATATATATATGTAATTCTTAAAATAAGCTATACTTTTATCCTGAAATTTATTTCAGCTTTCTTTGTAATTTTGTCTGAATAAACAGACATTAACATGATTTTTACCTTTTCAGGTTCTGTTTATTATTTTACATTAATCTCTTTGGGTCTGTATTTCCACTAATGACAGTAATTACTTGTAATTACATTATTTTTAAAATAAAATGTAAAATCATTTCTCCATTTTATTCTTATAAGATGTGATTACAATTAAGCATTACCTATCTGGAGGAGTACAATTTTATTTTAAATCTTTCTGAAGTGAATTGTTGGATATATATAAAATTGATCACAGATAATTTATATATAAGTGTTTTTACATATGTAATTATTTTTAAATAATGATAGTTATACATAAATTTCAAATGGAGAATCAAAGCATATCCCTATCAAATCATATCCGAATGTGTGCTTACATTGGATCTTTGAAAACTAAATTTGATTAAACATTGACTTGATATTCATGTATTCCTACTGGTTGACAATAACTATCATGCTTTTACTTAGCAGCACCATGAAAAAACAAGAGCACCTCAGTTCTCACACCCTTCAAGGGTTTTATAATTAAACTTAAACCAATTGGAATCATTTTTGTTTTGTTTTTTTTAAATAATTTTGAGAGAATGTTTCAACTGATAGATGAAAATATCACATTAAAATTATATTATTCAGTGTTTTTTTCTACTTTTGGGAATCTAGTTTTGTAAAATAAAAATCTTCCCTTTTCCTCCATACATTTTGTGTCATTGAGAAAATCTACATGTGATATTAAATGAATTGCTTTATCTTTTTCATTGAATAACTGATATTACCTTCCAACAGGAAAAAATTCAGATCCAGTTAACACAATCATTTGAAAAAGAGGAGAAGCCCTCAAGAGATGAAGCAGATAAAGAAAAAGCCAGTGATAAGTTACCCAGAAAAATGTTATCAAGAGGTTTGCAATTTATTTTTTTAAACAGAATTTTAGTTTTACTCTCAATATTCATTCTTATGGTATAACATGCATTAGTGAGATGTTTCAAACAAAAATTACAATATCAAAATAACTAAGGTTATTACTTACTGACCTGTCTTTTATATTAAAAAACCAGAATGTGTGGGGCGCCAGTGGTTCATGCTTACAGTCCTAGCTACTCAGGAGGCTGAGATCTAAGGATTACAGTTTGAAGCAGCCCAGTGAGATTCATCTCCACTAAACTACTGAAAAAAAAGCCAAAAGTGGAGTTATAGCTCAAATAGAAAACCCTCTTAGCCATGAGCAAAAAAAAAAAACTCAGGAACTGCACCAGGCTCTGAATTCAAGCCCCAGAACCGGTAACCAAACAAAACAAAACAAAAATTCCCAGAATGTTTATGTCTTAAAAAAAAGTTAAAGATCTTGCCATCATTTATCCTCACAAAACGATAAAAATGTTTTATTAAGTTTAGAACCTTAATAAAGTTGTTGGCCAGTGTTATAAACGGCATTTAAAGAGAAAAGATAAGAGTTTTCAAACGCAGTTTTGAATGAAAACCTTTGGTATTAAACCTGATAGAATCTTAATTAAATAAGTACATTGTTTCTGAACTAACATTTCTATCTGCCTCAATCACTTCCTCTGTTTATATGCTTTTAAGTTTACTAAGCTGTTTTAATTTTCTACAAATAGAAATACTTATCTAAGTCATGAGAATGATTTTTTTTCACATAAGGAGGCAGTTTTTAAACATGAAAGTTTGGTATGTCTGTGAAAGGATCTTTAAATTATTCAGAATAAATTAATCTGACATTGGGAGACATTAACATTTGAAGAATGTACAGATGTGGAGTTATTTAAACCTAGTTCATGAACATTATATGCGAGAAGAAAAATTATGGTCTAATGAGTTCAAAATGAATTCCCTTTTGCTACTTTGTCAATTTTCTTTTTCATTGTGGGGTGTGGCATTTTATCTAAGACATACATCGTAATAAAAAGGAAAAGGGATTGGTTTTCAACCAACTTTATACTGGGTTTTTGTGTTGTTGTTTTTTAGATTCCAGTCAAGAATACACTGATTCAACTGGCATAGATCTACATGAATTTTTAGTAAATACATTAAAAAACAATCCCAGGTAAAAATTAAATTTATAAGGCTTACCTTGATCTAGAGTACCATAATTTTGCTATATATGTTTTTTTAATTGAAATAGCATATTAGAATAAGATTGTACATACTTGAAGTATACCAGAAACATTTTAGTTTCTTAGGGGGCTAAGATATTGGTCTACTATGTGCACATTTATAAATACTTTTGCATTATGCATGTCATTATGATATAAAATTAATGCATCTTCTCTGTACAAGTTTTCAGAAAGAAGTGTGTAGGATTTATGTTGAGATTCAGATATAACATCAATCGTGAAGGAAAAAATAAAATGATACCTTGTCATAATACATTCCAACCAAAATAAAACCTCAGTATATTCATGTATAATGAGATTTTTTTTTTCCCTTTTTTGTAATACTGAGATTTGAACTCCAGGGCCTTATACTTGCTTGGCAGATGTTCTGCCACCTGAACTTCTAGCCCTTTTTATACGTTAGTTATTTTTTAGATACCTTCTGGTATTTCTGCACAGGACCAGCTACTGACTAATTCTCCTAACTATACCTTCCAAATAGTTAGGATTATAGGTGAGTGCCATCGTGATCCCATTGAATGGGATATCACAAACTTTTTGCCTGGGCTGACCTCAAACATCAGCCTTGTAAGAAATGCTATGCCCAAGGAAAAACAAAATTACACCTTCTGATTCTAGCAGGTGGCATGTGGAAATTTATTCTAGAAAATGATGAGGAAGATGTTGGCAAAGTATGAAGCACAAACCATTTATAATTGTCTTTAACCTATGATATAACACTAATACCATAAGTTGATAAGATGTGCAAGGACTTCTAATTATCCCAGTGAGAGTAAAGTGATATTGGGAAGTAGAGAATGCTGAAAAGAACTATAAGACATCAATGTATGATGAAAACCTATCTTTCTCTAATAACATAAACTATCTTACTCATGTGCCATTAAAAAATACTGAGTTTGACATGCTGAGTAATTTCAGGATTTTAAACATAATAATGTCATAATGAGATTTACTTTTCAAAGAAAGATTAGTTAGAATCCCAGTAAACTAAAACCAGCAGAAGGGGAAAGAGCCAATATTGTCTACTATTTTATATGCATGTATGAAAGTAGGACAATGTAAACCTGTTGAAATTATTTCTAAAAGGAAGAAGAGGATAAGAGGTGAAGAAATAGAAGGGATGAATTTGTTTGGGGTATTGTGGAAATATTACAACTAATATTTGCTAATAAAAAAAAAGTCCTGGTAAAGAAAAGAAAGATTACTTGGGAATTTAAAAAAGATTCTTGACATAGAACCCTTGAAGAGTAGTTAGGAGACCATAAAGAATACAAGAGAAGAAAATACACTTGAAAGATGCTTAGGAAATAATATGGTCCATCTTGATGGTTATTTGTATATTGAAGGGTGATAAGAGTAGCCTTTAGGTTTCTGGGTAGTCTTAACAGTCCAATAACTAAAAATAAGGGACAAGAATGAGTAGATTATAATAGTCTGTAACTTTAGTTTCAAGTACCCACTATAGAAGAAGAAGATGGACATTTAAATGGCTCTGGTTTTCAAGTGAATGATTTAGGCTTGATTTATAGTCAAGAGTCATGGATAAAGATCAAATTTGTTTTCTATGGAATTGCCCAACGAGAGTATGTGAAATGGTCAAAATTCTCCAAATCATACAAATTGAAAAAGTAGATGAAGGGCTGGGAAGGTGGCTCAGTGGTAGAGTACTTGCCTTGCATGCATAAGGCCCTGGGTTCGATTCCTCAGCACCACATAAGCAAAAAGAAAAAAAATCCGGAAGTGGCATTAAGGCTCAAGTGGTAGAGTGCTAGCCTTGAGCTGAAGAGCTGAGCGACAGCGCCCAGGCCCAGAGTTCAGGCCCCACAACCGGACCAAAAAAAGAAAAAGAAAAAGTAGATGAAAAGGATTTAGCCCTGAAGATAGCAGATTATGAGACTGTCAATATAGAGGTCAACCAAAAGTGAACATTTCACAAAGAGTCAAGTAACAGGAAGACTAATACAAGTACCAAAAACAATATATAAGGTTGGGAAATTAGAAGGCTGTTGGCTACAAAAGTCACTTTATTTCAAGAAAGGTATTATTTCTAACATCTCAGTGGATTGGGGATGATTGGGAAGCTAGCAAATATATTGCTAATTTAAGGTAGAATAAGATAGAATCTTGGACAGGTACAGTATTGTTTCCTCTAAGTCTGCTGGACTTATGCATTCCAAAATAGTTTTCTATTGCACAATTCTGCTTTTCTTTATAACTATATAGGTCTTTTTAATTATCTGCCCAATTTTTTTTTTTTTTTTTTTTGTCAGTCATGGGCCTGAACTCTGGGCCTGGGCGCGGTCCCTCAGCTCTTCAGCTCAAGGCTAGCACTCGATCACTTGAGCCACAGTACCACTTCTGGCTTTTTCTGCTTATGTGTTGCTGAGGAATCGAACCCAGGGCCTCATGCATGCAAGACAAGCACTGTGCCACAGAGCCACCTTCTCAACCCCTTTTTAAATTTTTATACTCATAAAAAATGTTTAATTAAATCTGTATTGAATAAGTACATGGGTTGAAAGGTGTTTCTCCATTTTATGAAACCTCTTTTGCAGTATACTCAGAAGATCAAACTCAAAATTGAGTCATAGCCTATCAGATGATCTTAGCAGGAAGAACTAGTAACTCCTCTACATAATACAAGAAGATTGGACTAGAGAATCATTACTTTTTTGGCACATGTGCCTTGGAGGGAAGAGTGGGGCTAATACACATACCAGTCTTGGGGCTTGAATCACAGGTCCAGGGTGCTATCCCTGTTTGAGGTGCTCTACAGCTCCACAGCATTTTGGTGGTTAATTGGAATTGAGAGTCTCACAGACTTTGCTTCCTGGGCTTCCTTTGAATCACAATCTTCAGAACTGAGCCTTCTGAGTAGCCAGGATTAATGACATTAGCCACCCATGCCTGGCTTGGCCTCATTTTCTTGATCTATTTTACTTTAAGGTTCTTTGCACATGAAATTTTCAAGAGCACAGAACTCCAGAGCCATGTCCATGGTGTGTACAAGGACGATTTTTGCAGAGTAGTCTCATTAACTTGATATACCCTAATTATATTAAATAGGGCCTAAGAGGCACATGTAAAATACTCTTTAGAGTGCTGTTTTGTATTTTGGATGTCTGGTTTAGTTGGATTTTAGAGACATTTTTCTCAAAACTTCACAATAGCACGTAATAGCAGCAATTATACTAAATAGGACCCTAAAAAGCACATGCAAAATACTCTTTAGAGTGCTGCTTTGTATTTGGGATGTCTGGTTTAGTTGGGTTTTAGAGAAATTTTTCTCAAAACTTCACAATAGCACATAATAGCAGCAAGGTATTGATGGCCCACACTTGTAATCTTAGTTACTCAGGAGGCTAAGGTCTGAAGATGACTGTTCAAAGCCACCCTGGGCAGAAATCTGTGAGAATCTCATCTCTAAAACTCCAGAACAGAGCTGTGGCTCAAGCAGTAGAGTGTAAACTTGAGGGGGGTAAAAAAAAAAAAAAAGGAAAAAAGAAACTCAGAGACAGCCCTCAGTTCAAACCCCATTACTTGCATGCACATAAAGACATGCACACAAAGACACAGACACACGTACACACACTACAGAATAGCACCGTAATAAGTTTGAGTTCTTTTAAATAGTTTTATATATTTCACACTTCTCTCCCATAGTTCCATCACTGTACCACCATTGGAGTCCCATAGTAGTGTTTCTGTTGTTACTAGCATTACAAATTCTTTAGAGATCTGTTTCTATGGAGTTGAGCATAACAGTTATGCCCTTAACTAAAATGTTTTTCTGTTAACCTTTTAGCTGTATTTAATTCAGTATACTTATATTAAAGTTGATTGATGGATCCATTACCCTATTCTCTGTACATTAATGTATGTGAGAAATTTTTCAAAGGATAAAAATTAAACTGATTAAATTTTCATTTTGAAGCTGTTTTTTGAAAGCCTGTAAATATTCTAGCATTAAGCTTGTTATACTTTTGAGTATACAGTTTTTACGTCAAAAAGTAGCTGTGTGTTTAACCAATTGATAGTTGGATTACTTTAGTTTTTAAAGTTTTACATATGAGTTTTCATACTTTGTTTCAGGGACAGAATGATGCTGCTGAAATTGGAACAAGAAATTTTAGATTTCATTGGTAATAATGAGTAAGTCCTGACATTTAAAAATAAAAGAACTGGGCTTCAGTGGCTCACACCTAAAATCCTAGCTACTCAGGAGGCTGAGATCTGAGGATCATGATTCAAAGCTAGCCTGGGCACTGTCCCTGAGCCTCCTTGCTCAAGGCTAGCACTCTACCACTTGAGCCACTGTACACTTCTTTCATGAGACTCTTATCTCCAATTAACACCAGAAAATTAGAAGTGACGCTGTGGCTCAAAGTTGTAGATTACTCACTTTGAGCACAAAGAGGCTCAGGGACAGTGCCCAGGCCCTGAGTTCAAGCCTCATGACTGACAAAAAATAAATGAATAAATAAAAATAGATGGAATTGCCGGCATAATTCTCTTTGACTTACTAAATTTGTTTTTCTTCTACTTCTAGGTCTCCACGTAAAAAATTTCCCCCAATGACATCTTACCATAGGATGTTATTACATAGAGTAGCCGCTTACTTTGGATTAGACCACAATGTTGATCAGAGTGGAAAGTCCGTCATAGTAAACAAAACAAGCAATACAAGAATGTAAGTATCAAGTTAAATGGTGTGTGTGTGTGTGTGTGTGTTCTTTCCTACAGCACCTTTCATCTGAGGTTTTTAATGTGTTTTACCAGTTTTAATTAAGCTTCATTATAAACTTCCCTAATAGGGCCAATACATTTACCTCACTGGGAGCAAGATTTACCAACCTATACTCAAATAAGGAAGATGAATGAGCTAGGAGTTCTAGGACAAAGATTTTTAAAAAGGATAAATGAGAACTGTTTAAAGGAAAAAACTGGTACATGTTGTATAACCATGTTTGTTGTTTCAGCTGATCTCAATGGATTTTTTTTGAAGATTTGTGTGTATGTGCACATGCATGTGTCTGCATGTCTCTGTGTTTGTGTGTGTGTGCTCGCGTGCATGCACGTGTGTCAGCTCTAGCTTTGAACTTAGAGCCTGGGCTGCTCTCCTTGAGCTTTCATGCTCAAGGCTAGCACTCTACTATGTTGAGTCACAGTCCCATTTCCAGCTTTTCGGAAATAAGAGTCTCACAGACTTTCCTGCCCAGGCTGGCTTTAAACCACTGTCCTCTTATCTCAGCTTCTTAAATAGCTAGGATTACAGGCATGAGCTACCAATGTCCAGGTAAAGATTTTTTTTACTAGAATGTATTAATTTTATAAGGGGTGTTATGACATTTTAGTACATACATAAAATTCACTCTAATCACACCCCATCTATCATGCCCTTTCCCTGTTTCAGTTTCAGCAGGCTTCATTGTTCTGGTCTCTTTCCCACATGCATATAAGAGTGCTTCCATCATGTTCATCGGTATTCACCGTCTCTGTTATAGATAGTTGTATTTTTTGTACCTTTTTTATTTTAAAAACACAGTACAAAGTGGTTACAGTTACATGAGCAAGGTAATAAGTACATTTCCTTTCGAGCATTGTTGCCTCCTCCTTTGTTTTTTCCCTACCATCCCTTCCCTCCCACCTCCACAACTACACTCTCCACCCTGGATAATTTTAATTAATGTCGTTCAGATATCAGTGGCCAGCTGCAGGTAAATTTGTTTTTTAAAAAAGATCAATTTGTTGATAATCTCAAATTTAATTAACCTACAATTTTTAGAAACCCTATATTTATTCTGTTCTCCCACAAATCTTAAGAAAAACAAGAGTATTATTAAGATAATACCATCCATATTGCTATATCTTCTTCTGGTTTGTGTATTACTAGTTAAGTTGAGCTGAATTTATTTATTCTTCCATGTTGTTCTGCCTGTCAAAGTTTTTTGTATATCCATTTTATTGTAACAGTAAAGGGCATGAAAATGTTAATTTTATGTAATGTTTTAGATATCTGCCTGTCTTTAATCTTTTATAAATATCTTATTGATTAGTTATATAGTAGCTAAAGTAGGATATTAACCATTAAGAAATAAGATGATGCCGGGCGCCGGTGGCTCACGCCTGTAATCCTAGCTACAGAAGAGGCTGAGATCTGAGGATCACAGTTCAAAGCCAGCCGGGTAGAAAAGTCCGTGAGACTCATATCTCCAATAAACCACTAGAAAACCAGAAGTGGTGCTGTGGCTCAAGCTATAGAGTGCTCACCTTGAGCTGAAGAATGCAGAAACAGCGCCCAGGCCCAGAGTTCAAGCCCTGTGACCAACAACAACAACAACAAATATATATATATATGTAAGGTGAACTAAAAATGAATAGAATTGTAATTCATTTAATCAATACCTTTCAACTATTCTGAGCTGTTAGATACCCAAGCACAGGTATATTCACAGACATTTTCACTAACATTTAGACTAATGACTCTCTAAGGTTTTCAATACAGTATAACCTCAGTTTTTTGAAATCTGTATCTGATGGTAGAAATCTTTAGGAATATCTTTATGAAGTTAATCCAAAATTTGGTTAAGATAAAATAAGATATACTTGAAATAGTGAAGATTAATTATAAGTAAGCATTTCAAATCATTGAAATTACACTGTATTTTTTTTAATCATCTTCTGAAATATGAGGATGTTTGTAAATCTGAAAAACATAGAGATCTGCTCCACATTGAATAAAAACACCTTTTCCTCATAGGGAAATTACCCATTCCCTCCTTGAAACAGTGGTGTTGTGGATGTCAACAACCCAGTTGTTGGGGTGTCTCAATGGAGCCATAAGTTGGTGATCACAGGGCAGTAGATTCAGGCACCAATGTTAAAAAATAAAAAGAGGGAAGGCTGTCTTAAGATTAGCTGAGGTGCCTGCTAGTACCATTTATGTGGAAATCCAGCTGGTCTTAGGAGAGTTGCCAGGCCCATAGTTAAATCCTAGAGTGTATTTTGGAATAACAATTTCTCAGTCAAGGACAAACTTTTTGGATAAGAAAATATGACTTGGAATTGAAGATATAGGTCAAATGGTAGAGGACCAACTGTGATTGAAAAAGCCAAGTGAGAAAGGGAGTTTCTGAATTCAAGTCACCTACACACACACACACACACACACACACGCGCACGCACGCACACGCGCGCGCGCGCGCACACACACACACACACACACCATACACCACACATAGAGAGAGAGAGAGAAAAAGTGACTTTGCACAGGTATGTAAAAAGTAGATGATATAGATAAGTGAACAAATTTTGTAACAAAATAACATAGTACTATGGTCAGAACTAAACAAATAATCTTCCAAGCCCCCAAAGAAATCACTCTTCTCTTTGTTTTTGTCATGAAGTCATTTAGCTTTCTCCTTTACTTTTTTTTTTCTTTGTCGGTTGTGGGGGCTGACCCTACCACTTAAGCAACAGTGCCACTTCTGGCCATTTATGCTTATTTGGTGCTGAGGAATCCTTTACTTTTATATATAACTTCTTGGGGGTATCTGCTGTCTTTCTTCATTCATTATTTTAAATAGATTTCTTAAACTCACTTAGGTATTTATTATTTTTAAACCTTTTGCATAATTTTCAAGAGTCTGTTACAGCACTTCATTAAAATTTCATTAGATAAAAACCTGTATTTCACAGGGATACTTTGATCCAATATATAGTGAAATAATCTGATTTTAATTTGCTGAAAATGTTACCACTCTGGTTTCTCTTTTTCCAATTTCTCATTAGCATCAATTAGTTATACAAGGGAATTTTATTACTTGGGTTATGATTAGAAATTTAGAGTATTCCATATGATGTGCATACATATAAATGTATATTGAACTAGATGAAAAAAGACTACTTTGGCATTCAATTTGATTTTCTTTAGAACTTTTTTTAAAAAAAATTTATTATAAAGGTTATGTACAGAGGAATTGCAGTTATAAGTAAGATAAAGAGTACATTTCTTTCTGGACAGTGTCACCTTTTCCCTCACTCTGTTCCTTCTTCCCTCTGTCCCTACCCACAAGTTGTGTAGCTCATTTTCAATACTGTCTACAGAATACCACTGCATTTGTTCACATTTTGTCCCTCCATTTCTGTACCCTCCCCAAACCCTCCCAAAGACAGATAAATGAACAAACAAGACAAAAAGAAAACAAAACAACAACAAAGATAAAAATCTCCTGTTTCTATTTCCTGGAGTTCATTTTGATAAATATTACTTTACATGATCAGATGCACATAGACATTGTGTTCTTCTCCTGTGTTCTTATACCTGTTTAATGTAATTTATATATCTTATTTCAAAATAATTCTGATTTTATAATACAGTGATATTAAGACACAGAGTATTGGTTGAAATTTCCTGTTGCAGCTGGGAATATGTTTTAGGAGGTAAATTTTTATTTAATTTTCCATGGGCTTATAACCATGTGTCTTGCAGAATTTCTATTCTAAAAAGATAAATATGTTATAAAGTACATTGTTTTCATAATTATTTGGTTACAATATTAACCTCTAAAACATAACTTTTTTAATCCATCTCATTTAATGTAAAGCATAGCTATGCCCTATAATTAAATAATTTTGGTAGCTGGACACCAGTGGCTCTTCCCTGTAATCCTAGGTACTTAGCACAGACCTATAGGTTCATGAGTTTAGGCCAGCCCAGGCAGAAAAGTTTTTAATTCCATCTCCAAAGTAATCAGCAAAATGCAGGACTGGAGATGTCGCTCATGTGGTAGGACACCAGTCTTTCAAGTGTGAAGGTTTGAGTTCAAGTGTGAGGCCATATATATATGATATATATATATATATATATATATATATGATAAACTCTTGTACTACTTCAGTTTTTTTTTATCTTCATGTAGTTACTTAAATCATTTGAACTTCAGTTATTTCAGTTCTTAGAAAGCTTCAACTGACTGTTTAAATGTTATATCTGTGGTAATATCTGTGTTATATCTGTGGTAATTCATCTTGAGAGCAACCCTATTAGATGGGTACAGTATTATTGCCATTTGACTGATGAGAATACTAAGGAGTACAAAGGTTAAGTACCTTTATGGAAGTCCTAAAGCCATTCATGGTGAATATTTGAATCCAAGCAGTCTTACTCTGGAGCTGATTGTATATAGCCTCAGTCATAATGTGGAATAGTTTTTTTTTTCTTATGAGATTATTGCCAGCTTGAAAGGAGATACCATAAGTATCTCTTAATGTTACTAACAAGTGGTACTTTTATCACTTTTTTTCACTTTTCTAAAATGTTAACATTATACACTATTTTTTCCTTTGTTTTGTTCTTGTAGACCTGATCAGAAATTTAATGAACATATTAAGGATGATAGAGGTGAAGACTTTCAGAAACGATATATCCTTAAGAGAGATAACTCTAGCTTTGACAAGGATGATAACCAGGTAATACAGAAGAAATAGGATGTTTTTATAATTAAGGCTTGCACTAATAGCTCATTTTCCCAAGAACTATTTTCTTTTCTTTAGATGAGAATACGTTTGAAAGATGACAGAAGAAGCAAATCTATAGAAGAAAGAGAAGAAGAATACCAGAGAGCTAGAGATCGAATATTTTCCCAAGATGTATGTGCTGACTTATATTTAGGACTTCATATTAGAATACACTGGAGTTGCATTGTAGGATCTCACTCCTACTCTAATCAATTAATCACATTGATTTTTAACCACATTTGTTACATATGAGGTCACCTTTTAGAAATATTGAGAAGTCTTGATTATGAAAATAATTGTTTTAGAATACATAAGGAAAAAATTCATAATTTTATAGAATTTTTATAGAATACTACTTTCCAACAATAGTATGAATTTTACAAAAGTTGGATGCAGATGGACTGCAGGAGTTATTGAAAGAATAGTGGACTGAGGATATATTTGTATAATTTCTTTCAAGGTTTCTGACAGCTTGAGGTTTTTGAGACATTGGTAACTCTCTAAAGAACCTAAATTCTGCTTGTTAATAATCATTTTATATTTTATAAGTGATTATATGAGAGCAGTTTCTAAATGACTAATTATTTGTATGTATTTGCCAAACAAAAGAGAATCAATTCATTAAAGCACTTGTTCTTTGCAGTACTTTTTAAGGATATATGAGTGTATATAATGCATTACTACCATGACAGGTAGAAATATTTCCTGTGCTAAAACAACAAAGATTGGGGCTAGGAAGATGGCTCAGTGGTAGAGCACTTGCCTTGCATGCCTGAGGCCCTGGGTTCGATTCCTCAGCATTACATAAGTAAAATGAAAAAAGCCGGAAGTGGCGCTGTGGCTCAAGTGGTAGAGCACTAGCCTTGAACTGAAGAGCTGAGGGACAGCGCCCAGGCCCAGAGTTCAGGCCCCACGACCGGACCCAAAAAATAAATAAAACAACAAAGATTAAACATAAATTTTAGAAAATCAGTTAAGAGTTTATAGGATTTTCTGGGAATGATATCAGCACTGGCCTCCCGTTGCTCACACCTGAGAGGCTGAGAATCTGAGGATCACAGTTCAAAGCCAGCCCAGGCAAAAAAAGTCCATGAGACTTATCACCATAAAACAAGAAATGGCACTGTGGCTCAAAGTGGTAGTGTGCTAAGCTTGCACAAAAAAGCTCAGGTACAGTGCCCAGGCCCTGAGTTCAAGCCCTACAACTGACAAAAAAAAAAAAAAAAAATTTACAGCATTTCACAAGTTGTATTGAATTCTTACAGTTAAGTGCTATGCTAGGCACAGAAGAACATACTTGTGAGACTAAGCAAAACAGCCAGAGTTTGAACACACACCTAAAAATGGCAGTTGGGATTTCATTCTAAATTTGCTGAACTCATAGCCTACCCTAAATATGAATTTTTGTCACTAGTTTTTAAGGTAGATAATGTCTCTATACTTGATAAGTAATCAAATAATTGCAATATGGTATGTGGTTTGTAGAGAGACATGAAAGTGTACTAGAAGCCAGATGCTGGTGGCTCATGCCTGTAATCCTAGCTATTCAGGAGGCTGAGATCTGAGGATTGTGGTTCAAAGCCAGCCTAGGCAGGAAAGTCCATGAGATTCTTACCTCCTATTAACCACCTGAAAACTGGAAGTGGCATTGTGGCTCAAGTGGTAGAGTGCTAGCCTTGAGCTGAAGAGCTGAGGGACAGGGCCTACACCCAGAGTTCAAGCCCCATGACCAACAAAAAAAAAAGAAAAGAAAGAAAAAGTGTTCTAGAGGACACAGTAGAGAAGCAACATAAACCAGAATCAGGGAAGGATGGATGAGTGAACTTCCCTACACAATGAGTTTAAAGTAGAGGATTAGTAAATACAAAAGGCTAGAGGTAAAAGAGAACTTCCATGTGAAAAATGAAATGATTTTGAATAGCCAGATTATAGCTTGGCTGGTATCAGAAGTAAGAAAAGAAAGTTTCAATAGAAGAAAGGAAGGAAGGAAGGAGGGAGGGAAGGAAGGACGGACCAGGGCTGGTGGCTCACTCCTGTAATCCTAGCTACTCAGGAGGCTGAGATCTGAGGGTCACGATTCAAAGCCAGCACTGGCAGGAAAGTCTGTGAGACTCTTAATTCCACTGAACCGTTAGAAAACCAAAAGTGGTGCTGTGGCTCAAGTGGTAGAGCACTCACCTTGAGCTGAACCTTGAGCACAGGGACAACGTTCAAGCCTAGAGTTCAAGCCCCACAACTGACCAAAAAAAAAAAAAGGAAAGGAAAAGAGGGGCTGGGAAGGTGGCTCAGTGGTAGAGCGCTTGCCTTGCATGCATGAGGCTCTGGGTTCGATTCCTCAGCACCACATAAGCAGGAAAAAAAAAGCAGGAAGTGGAGTTGTGGCTCAAGTGGTAGAGCGCTAGCCTTGAGCTGAA